CCTGTAAAAAGGATCTGTCCATAGAAGAAATACTGGGCCTTTAGAGGGCAAGCAAATAGGTGGCCTGATATACATTTTAAAATTCGTGAACAAACAGATACCGCTGCGCCGAGAGATGGTGTTGAGACATCTCGTCCTACGATTTTTTGAGTTACTAAGGAGATGGGTGAACATGACGAGCGATAAGCCTATAGTGTGACAAACATGAAGATGAAAAATTAAATTTCAATTATATCAAAATTTTCCTTGATATTTCGTCTAACATTAAAATATACTTTATGTAAAATCTCTACAATTTGTAAAAATCCCTCAAAGATTGAAGTTATTTGCCTGTGAAATATTAGACACACAGTAAAGCGGGCAAAAAGAGTCATTTTTGCATACTATAGCACTATTTTTCGATATGACTGGGTCTTCGCTCCACCTTTTTGAAAGTTAATCCTCAAAGTTTGCATAAAAATATACATTTTTTGGTTACCAAAAATATGGAGCAATGACACACTATACCTTAAAAATATACTTTAATGACATAACATTCGCTTCTTTTCGAGAAATAATTGAAGTCCATTAAGTCAAGGATCATATCACAAACATGATTTAAATGCCACTGTTCGACAGGACTTGTGTAGTCTAGTGCTTAGCTTGCTAGTCTCGAAAGAAAATTATACTCAGGATTTTTATTGCTAGGATTCGAACCCCACGAATACCACATTAATTTTTTTAATAAAAGAACACATTTTGCCGAGAAAATTTTCCTCAGAAAAGTTTTGTTTATCACAATTTCATAAATTTCAATAATGAGAACTTTACTCTAAATATTAAATTCACAAACTGAACATTATTTTTTATATTTCTGAAGCTATAGGCTTTCTGCATGCTATGTTCGCCCATCTCCTTTTACAATTTCCTATTAGTTAAAGTTTTGAGTTGAGAATCGATGATTTCAACTATATATTTTAAGATTTCATACTAAATTCGAGAATTCTTTAGTCGAAAACACTATATTTTCAGTAAAAAATCAGTTGACTTTCATATAAACTTTAAGCCAAAATATTGTTCATATTATTTAAGCATTGCTAGAAGAGGGAAAATCCTACTCTGAGAAAGAAAGAGGGGGAAATCTGGTTCTAGAGTGAGATTTCCCCTGGGGGGGATCTTACTCCAGAGTACAGATTCCGGGAGGAAAGCTATCTATGGGGGAAATCCTACTCTACAACATCAGTGTTTTCATACTTCGTATGTTTTAATGGAACATTGGCCATTTTGGAAAAAGGACACATAAAAATATCTTCTCCCCCATACATAAGTAAAGCCAAGTTATTTTATTGGGGGAAAATTGGCTCTGGGGGAATTGCACTCTATAATTATTAAACTAAATAGGATTTTCCCACAGAAAATTGAATCTGATGTGGGATTTTCGAAGGGGAAATCCTACTCTAGAGTCATTTTTCCGTGGGAGAAACCCTACTATAGAGCCTGTTTTCCCGGGGGGATTGTAGAGGGGAAAGTTTACTCTATAAGACTGGAAATAACGGGGCGCAATTATTACCCATAGAAATCCAACTGATTGTTGGAAGACTTGATCTCCAACAAAAACTATGCATAGATATTGTCAATCCGAAAATCAAGCACATTTTTTACATCAACTTCGGAGTAATGTGTACAATCAGAATGCTTTGACAAAATAATTTTTGCAAATGACTAATGAAAAGGTATGTAAATTTAATAGTTCTATTTTCATTGAAAAAGTAGTTGTTTATGATGTTAAAAGCCTGGACTTTAATTTATCGTGGAAAATGGCTGTATAAATTGTTGAAAAGTCGTACGTTTTGATGTCATTGATTTTGGTATAAAAAAAAATGCGATTTTAATTTTTTTTTCGAAATTCCTTGGATTTTTTAAGTAACCACATCTGATTAACACCACTTCTTGAATGTCATTGTACAGTTCTCCTGAAGTTTCTCCTTCACTGCTGTTAATAATTTGGTGAGGAGTAAGGAGAAGAGGCTTGTCAGAACATTACTGGGACCCCTATGTACTAGTATCTTCTGAATCCAGTATAGGTATGGTAATTCAAACTCAATTTGATTGTTGGAAATATTAAATATATTTAAAACTGACGCGTGATTTTGAAGAATTTCCTCCCTATAAAGCTAACTATGAATATAAGTTGGATTATTACATGCAGAATTAAATCCAAGTTCCTCTAAAATACAATTCAAATAATGAAACTTTCAACGTTAAATCTTTACGCACGACGACGAACAAAAGCGTCAATAAGTCACCTAAATGACCTAAAAAGAGAGAGATAAAGAGTAAAAACATACTAGTGTATTCAATTTCCTTATTCAGAAGAAAACCGTGAAATATATAGAGATAAGGAACAGTATTCAAGCTCATAAGTTCATCTCAAAATGCTATCTCAATTTTAAGATGCAGAAGCAGGACACGTTAGGGGTGCCTTTTACAATACTTTGGCTCTACTTTTACATATGTACAGTGAATTCGCAGGAACGTAAGATTTTTTTTATCATTGTTTTAACATATTTAAATTTAATTCAGTAATACACCTGAAGACAATTTTCCTAAAATTTAACTGATTTCAAATATTCCGCAAATGAATTAATACTTGTATGTTTGTATACCTTTGTATATCTATCACAGCATGCACTTCACCTGATCCTAACATTGCTGGATTTGTGTACGAGTCCACTTTTGCTTCTTTTGACCCAAATTCTGCACTCTATAGGACAGACACAACGATAGAGGGAATAAATCAGGGGACTGTGACAGCATCAGGAGTCAACATATCCTTTGTTAGATCAGCAGCCACTCCTACTGATCTTAACTTAGATAGTTTGTTTGAATTAGTAACTTTACCAGTGACAGATTCATCTTTTGGAAGTAGAACTTTTATCCGATTAAAGTCGGCAATCGACAGAGATGTAAGTTTCATAAATTACAATTCAAACCAAAATAATCATTTAAATTCTAAATTCTTAAAAATCAAATAATGGTAAAACTTAGCTAATTAGTATATACTGTAAATCACTTTATTTTTGCGACACCTTATTTACGGAGATTGTTAATTGGTATTTATAAGCGGGACAATTTTTCACGAACTGTGGTCAATACTCTATGTAATCTTTAATAATACAGTAAATAATATACGTGGATATGAAATTTTCATCAGCAGACAGTCCTGTGTAATTACACGAAAATGAAGTTTTCGCGAATAAAGTGATTTACAGTATACATGTGTATATACAGCTCAAAAAACTTTTTTCAAACTTATATATTTATATTTGCTATGTTTTTCTACTAAGCCAACTGTGAAATTGATTTGAATGTCATTTTCGTGTATACTCACGCGTAGAAAATCGCGTTAAAGTGACGTCACATTGAATACAGAGACGTTAATAAAAATATAACGATATTCATTTTGATTTGGAATTAAGCAATTTTATCATTATTTTAAATCCTTATCTGAACAATACTAGCAATCCGGCAAAGTTCCTTTGGCAGAAAAAATATACATTGCATCTGCTCACACTCTATTTTTGAACATGTAAAATGTAAATATAAGGAATGTTTTGAAGTTTAGTGTGAATTATTAGTGTGTAAATCACACAGACTTGCACGTAGGCATATTTTTCATGAAGCGCTAGCGCACTTCATGAAATATCCCTACGTGACAAGTCTGTGTGATTTAAACACCAATAACTCACACAAAACTTCAAAACATTCCTTAATAAATGCACATTTTGGAAATAAATATATCGCTGCTGAACAAAGGCGCAAACAAAAGATATGTTGAATTTTGCAATTTTATGAAAGTTTTTACGTTGATAATTGAAAATTTACCTTATAGCACTTAGTTTCTTTTTTCTAGAATTGCTCGAATAACAGCCTTAATGCAATTTGACATGTTATTAACTACGTTTTCACGGAACTGTTTAAACATTGAATTCTTATTTTTGGATATCGTCGGTCCTATAACCTGGCCGTGCCGACAAATTGAATACCGCGCATTAGAGTATAAGGTACTAATATTTTTCAGTAACTAGTGATGAGCATATAGCGTTTTTTAAGGTGAAAGAACATTATACGGTAAAGGCGCAGCCCTGTCCCATAAAAATCAAATTTTGAAAATCTCTTGAAATGTGCGCAATTGAATATTTTTAAATAAATAAATCTGAATTAACAATTCATCATTGATTTGAGGGAAACTAAAATCATTTATGTCTCTGTGACGTCACAAACTAAGTGTAATTCCCGTTAATTTTTAAAAAGGGAGAAAAATGCACAAATTTTGTTCAATTTTGACTTTAGTTTTCATAGAGCGCCAACCTGCTCAGGAACTATTTTTACGTATTTCATATATATCACCATTCTGCAACTTATATCAAAAGATAGAGTGTGAGCAGATGCAAATGTATATTTTTTCTGCCAATGGAACTTTGCCGGATTGCCAGTTTTGTTCAGATAAGGATTTAAAATAAGGATAAAATTGCTTAATTCCAAATCAAAATGCATCGTTTACATTTATCAAAGATCAAGACAAATGAAATACCCGTGTAAAATTATCAAGACAAATGAAATATACCCGTATAAAATTCCAGTCCTTTCTCATAATTTCCAGTAATAGACTGATTTTATTTTTCTGCAGCAAAAGTGGTCAAAATTTCGCGAAACTCGAAATGATGACGGAACGTCATAATCAGTTTTACTTGTGACGTAATGAGTTAGCAGTAGGCACATGGCACTTAACGTAGTTTTTGAAAATAGGTCCAAAATAGGCCGGCGACACAAAGAATGTTAAAGTCACAACAAACCTAGTGACATTAAAGTTCATTTGATATACATATACAACTGAAAACTAACCAATCCCTCATTGCATTGTTCTTACTGCAAGATTTTTTTTTTGTGTTGCTTGCCCTATGAGACTTGTTATAATGGACTTTCTTTTCTTACACTACACTTTTCTCTCATTTATACAGGGAAGTTCCTACATAGCTAGTGATGACCTTGACACTGTTGAATTTCAATTATCTTGTCGTTCTTTGGTAAGTAGTTTGTTAATTTGAACCTATATATTGACGGCTTATCTGTCACATTTTTATTAAGCAGTTATTAATCAAGGTTTTTTGATTCAGAAATACTTCACCCAAGGACACATAGGGAACAAGGAGCTACAGTACATATTCTTCTTAACGCTTAATATTGTTATGTTGTCATTTCTAAGTAGGTGATACTCAGGCCCGTACATGTAGCTAAAATTTCTAAGGGTGCAACTTTCCAAAACCTCTGACCAAAAGTGTGGGGGCCGGGGGGTACTTCACAAAATATCTGACAACCAAAAAAAAAGGAGAAAAGAAAAAAAATACTGTCCAAATCATGGAAATTGTCATTGCTCCACCTTACAACATCAAAAAGTAGGGGGGGGGGCAACCAGCATCTAAAGGAAAATTTACTACAGCAAACTACTATACTCAGAAAAGGTGGAGGCCCCTCTGCCCCCCCCCCCCCCCGCGTTTTACGGGCCTGATGCTATTCTCTATCTATATGTGCTCGCTAATTTCATTGTTCATCGATTATGATAAAAATATATTTGAAGCATTGTTTTTTTTCATAATAATTTCTTTCTTTGAAATCTCAATTGTAGAAAGATCCAACGCCAACAAAGTTTTTCCTGATGCAGCTGGAGATTCGGGATATAAATGATAATGCACCTATATTTAGAAATGCTCCTTATTCTGCTTCAGTTGATGAGGTTTGTCAAAATTACTACCCCCTTAATCATAATATAAGAACTATAACTCTCTATTCCCGTAAAAACTAAGGACAATCTCTGTGTTGTATTTAAGTGTGTGAAATTGTGTTTCATTTCATCAAAGCCTAGCTTTGAAGTGATACCTAACCTTTTAAAGATTCAATTCAGCTATGTTGTCAAATTTTATCAAGTTCAACTTGATTATTGAATTTAAAACCTTCAAATTATGGGATTAGAGAAGTCCTCAACTTATTTGATATCTGCATACTTAATACTTTATTATAGACCCCATTTTTTAAAACTAAATTGAAACGCTTTTTTTCTATAAGACATAAGGATGTATAGAAGAAATGAGTTATGTTCCTACTCGAATGATGTCATGACTAGTATCGCCAAACCCCTTAACTCGTCACTACCTTAACTCCGTCACTTTCGGGAAACTCCGCTCCGCGCTGTTTGTAAACGAATGCGATTGTGACGTCATTTTTTACATACTGAAAATCTACAATCAATTGTCGAGAAATTATGACAGTCAAGTTCAAGAATGCGTCAAAAATAAATAACAATTACACGTGATCTATCGATCTATCATATTTTATGTGAAATCAGTAAGCACTTTTTCCTTTATAATTATGCGCTATACCATCGATATCTCCGACATGTGCGTCAATATGCTCATTTTTACATGTCAGTCGTATTTATGAAGATCTTTGACAAAGGATTAATAAGACATACCATATTTAATATGGCTAAAAAGATTTTATTTTTCGTCTCAATAGAGAAATACCGACATCTTACGAACGAACGTAACCAAAAAGGGGATCGTTCATTGTATTCATATTTGCATTATTAAATTCTTCAATGTTATTGCGATTTCAAAAGATAAAATCCCCGCAGGATACCTCAAAACTACTTCTTATAGCCATATCATGAATCCGTTGGAAAAAAGCCCGTTCGTAATTTTTCGGTTGATAAGGCTTCTTCTTAGATACAATCCTTCGACGTAATTTTGCTCCAGTCTTTGCTCCCCCCCCCCCTTTCAGCTCTTTGATTTTTTTTTCATTAAATATTTCGGATTTCCAACGATTCGGCAGGAGCATTACTGTAGATTCCTAAATATACGCGAGGAATAAATTATCGCGTAATTACGCGAAAAGCACCACTCGAGAAATAAAATTACTCGCTTTTATTTTTATGGTGCTTTACTGTTATAAAATCTCTAGATAAATCACCCAGTCGCGAATTATTGTTCTCGCGATTTGACGCCCTTCGGCCATTTTGCGATATTAAGTACTCGCGTAAAATAAGGAATCTACTTAAGAGACATAATATGTTTAAAGAGACACTGTGACGGACAAACGGGAAAATATTTGACAGAAGTAAAATTTTTGCAAGACACATGCAAATTTTATTCAATTCTTGAAAGTATTACGTTTCAGAAAATTACAGGTTTCAGAACCTAAAATATCTACTTTTTGTGGAGAAAATTATAAGTAAAAATAATCTTAATTTGCCCCAACATGAAAAGAAAACTTAAAAGAAACACATGGTATTGACTCACTACGTAACTTTAAATGCGCCTCTGGTGCATCAAAATTGGCACCGTATATGATTTACATGTACAAAGTTTAGCCAGTAGCACGAACAAAAAGGCCATTGTTTTATGTTGTAGTTTTTTTTAACTCTCCCTCGCCCTCTGGATGCATTTTATTTTTCTGTAGCCCGTTTAAGCATTCTCTAGGTCTATGCCAGTTTTTCCAGGTACGAAACTTCATAGAATGTTGGAAAAGGAAACCCCTCCCCCTTTTTGACGCCAATTTCAAGTCCTTAATATTAACGTTTGGACTCTCCATATAAAATTTACGATAAAATTTCATAGAACTTACAGAATGGGGTAAAAATTGCAAATTTTACGGAACAATTGTGTTGTACCACATGCCTGAATTAACGGGATTTTTTTATGACAATTGCTCATATCATAAGTGTTTATACGATATAAAGTAAATTTTTTACCCAATCAAGTACAGCGTTACAAGCAAAATTAAACTATTAAAAAATAAAACATGATTTATGATTTATTCTATAGATAGAAAAGATGACGCTAACTAAATGTTATAAAGTTCATTGATGTACCTAAAGCGGTTTTAATTTTATGGCGCTAGTCCACAAACTTTTTGATAACCCCTCGTATGAGTGAAAAATTCTCCAATGGGATGTAAAACAACATACAGTTAATCAATCAATCCAGCATCACCTGCATGTGATGTGTATGTCTCCCAACTGATTCGATAAACAAGAACATGCTCTAAACACGATCAATTATTTATACCGAGGCAAGCTACTGAGAAATAAGTCCGTTTTGTTAACTTGATTTATGAGATTGATCATCGTCGGAAACCCACGGCTGATAACGCTTCGTTCCTCTCTCCATCAGAGATGGAGATTGATCACTGTTCGTAATCTTCACCTTTTATATAGAAATTGTAGAAAGAAAGCAAAATGCTATGAATTTATATATTTGTATAGCCTTTTAAATGCACAAGATGTAAATCTAATGCTGTTTACAAGGAAATTTTCGCTCCTGTTTTATTTTCGTCCCTTTCGCCCTTATTGCAGGTGAGCGAATTTGAAACGGGCAGATCACGAAACATTGTCGATTAATCAGAGCTACAGATTCTAAATGTTTGTAATAAAAAACGAAAATATATTAAAAGCCCTATACCTAAGAACTGAAGAATTAAATTAAATTAAAATATCACACTGTATCTTATAAATATTTAGCTTTGAGAGCTATTTTGTTTTAATAGATGTAATATGTTCAGAACTACCATCTATTAATTTCGGTTGAAATTCTATGATGAAAGAAAGAGGTATAATTCTTCCAGAGATTCTGGTCAGAAAAGTTATAAATCAATACGTGTATTTTTCGGGCTTTTGAATAACCTAAATGTTATTCTAATGGTTCCAGAAAAGAAAACCTGACATTAATCAAGAAATTTTCGAGAAGGGACCTACTTTAAAACTTTTTTAAAACCATATTTTAGTCAGCACCAGTTGGAACAACAGTGTATTCTGGGATAACAGCTACAGATCTGGATGCTGGAAGCAACAAAGAAATAGAGTATGCCATAGTTCCTGGAGATGGCAGTACTGTGAGTGTATACTTGTCATTTATTTTCCTCCTTTGATATTCCATAAAATTCTAGACGAGCTTTTAAAGGTGTTTTTCTGCAATGGAGCAATATTTTAGGAGTATCTGAATTTCAGGAATACTGCAGAAAAGGGGAGGGGCTTAAAATTGAGAGGAAAAAGTAAGAGAATGTACATGTAATGGAATTGTACTTTTTAAGTGTACATTTGTATTTATACAAACATAACATTACATAAAAAATATCTCTTTAGAATGATGGCTCAACCAGATTTGTACTTCCTATCACTTCAAGAGGAGAAATTGTTGTTGGCAATTCTTTAGACTTTGAATCTGTTCGGTCATATACCCTCACGATATCAGCAACAGTGAGTATCATATTTTAGAGCAGTATCATGATATCGTAATATACATGGTGTTTGAAAAGATAATTTAAATTAAATATATGTTGTATATTTACAGTTCTTTTAAATGATTCCATTAATTTATGTGAATCAGCATATATATTAGAAAAGAAATTACTGTTCCAATTAACTTTTCAAATTCATGAGTAGAGCAGAAGTTTCAATGATCGAGTATAAAGGATTTGGCTAAAGAAATTTTGTGTTGTATGATACCCTTATTCTACCCACCAGTACTGGAGTTGAAAATCTTAATATGATACTTATAACGTAAGATCTCTTCTGACCTAGACTTCGATTTATTGTGATTTTCCTTTATTTAGGACAAGGCCAGTAACGTTGCAGTCAGGAAACAGACTACCACCACCATCACAATTACTATAAATGATGTGGATGATCTAGGACCCAAATTTGTGTATTCCACCTGTTTTAATGTCAACAATGTTTGTTTTAACCCAACTTACACAACAAGTGTCACATCTGGGTCAACGGTTAGTTTCACAACTTTTTACAAGATTGAGTATGTAGCAGTAGGCTTGATATGGTAAAACAGATTTAAAGAGAACACAAATATTGAGAATTATTGCTTAAAAACTAATATTTTCTACCCTGTATTTTAAAAAAAATCGAGGTAATAAATTCAGAATATAATAAAGCAATTTCAGTTGTAAGATATCTTAAAGTGTTTTACTGTATTTCATCATAAAAAATTATGTAACATTCTTCGTTTGTAGGCTGGCACACTTGTATTCAACCCGGTACCCGTGGATCCTAGAAATCCCAATGCAGCAGTTGATATCATTGCAGAGGACAGGGATACTCTTAATGCTCCGATCACCTTTACAATACGACAAAGTAAGGACTAAGTGTTTGACTTTTTTATGTTGAGTAATATTTGAAATTAAAACATACATGCAAGACAGAATGTTACATCAACAGAGTTGTCATTAATTATACATTTCATTTTCAGACTGTTTTTCTTATTTGCACTGCTTTTGCCAGCACTTGATTGGCCACTAGAATAGTAAGACTGGCTTATAAGTAATGCAAGGTTCTTATACCGGTACATTAGGCAAAATTCCTAAAGCACCCCTGAATATTCTCAAATTTAAACAGAACATTTGCTTTATCGACACGCGTAAATTTAATATACAGCATTGCCCAATACAGTCGTATTTGCCGATGTATATGGTGTCAATACAAGAACCTTAAATGGTCTTCTTATTCACAAACCAATTTTTCGAAGCCGACTGAGCACTAATTTTTGCACTGATATGACATTGGTTACTACCGATTGTGGTCTGTGAGGTTGCAAGCGTAGTGGTATCACTTTTTCGCAGTAGATGAAGAGTGAATCTCTATCGTGTCGACTAGAAGTCACTCAGTACTTTGGTATCGGTATCCAGTCAAACACACTTCCGATAGCCACAGATTCGCAGTACAATCTTGAAATAGTCTTGTGGTGTACGTTGAATGCCCTAGCAACGTATAGAAGATATTTCATGTTTGTTTATATTTACTAGAAGAAACAAAAATCTCTAACCTTTTTTTTTTTTTTACAAACTAATCCAAAGAACACCCAGCAGAAAATATTCTGATTGCCCTACCATGGTCTTTTATGATCAAACATCGTATTCGATGTCAGTTATCTTCTGCGTTTTCAAACAGTTCTATTAAATGGTTACGCTTCATCTTACATTTGTATTCATTGATCTTTTTTTCAAGTTTTCTACGGTGTGCTCTAGCAATTTTGTGTAGTGTACACAATGTAATGAATCATTCTTATCATGCATTTTTCTCATGTTAATGTTTATAAAAAACTGAAGGACAAATGAAAACAGACATTGTCCAAATTTACTATGATTAATCGTCGTCAACACTTCTTATTCATTTTAGGATTTTTGACTAATTTACTACACTATGTAATCTACAGACAGTTTCTTTATGTCTTATCAGCCTTGCCATCTGGGTACCGAAACAGGTTCCAAGTGACCACGCAACAAGTTTCTGGCTCAGCAAACCGATATCGTGCCCTAGTAAGCCAGACAGCATCCGTTGATAGATCCCAAGTTTCTGAGCTTGAACTTTTCATTGAGGTTCATATTGTATTCCTTCATTTTGAAGTTCTTTTAGTCAGTGTTCATGCTTTCATGGTTGCAAATAAATTAATCCATAAGCTCTTTTACATAGGCTCAAGAAAATGTAGCTAACAGGTACTCCAACAGAGCTACAATAAAATTATCAGTTGCTGCAGCCAACAACAATAACCCAGTGCTAAGTGTACCTTTCCAAGGATACATTTACGAAAATTCACCAATTGGAACCATACCAAGGAATAATGATGGATCTAGTCTTTTAAGAATCTCTGTTACTGATCCAGACTTAGTAAGATGTTAATCAAACATAATATAAACACTGTATATACATGTATATTTTTTTCAAAAGATTTACTTTAAATTAGAGAACTGAAAAATGGTATTGAATTATAGATTGTAGGTGAGACTGGACAATACACTTTCACTGTCAACACAGGACTGTTTAGAGTAAACAGTGAAGGATATGTAGAAGCAGCTGCAGTAATAAACTATGAATCCACTCCAGTTGTCACTTTCACTGTGAGTTATTTAAAATACAACTGTTTTTTCTCTCCGATCTGGATATTTATTGTCAGTGACCTATAGCAACATAGCAAAGTTAATGAGTAATCTTTATACAATTTAGGGCATTGCTTCTGTTTTTTTTTTTAATTTTTGCATGTAACAAAATACTTGATAGTAAAAATTCATAAATACAAATTAATAGTTTGTAATTATTGTAATCAGTGATTTCAAATTAAGAAAATATACTGGTGTGACCTTTACAAGCTTCCATATTATGATGATATTATTTTATTGTGGGATGTCAATTACATGACTAATTAAGGTGTTTTATGTTTCAATGAAAATATAGGTGACAGGAACTGAAGTGGGAACCCAGAACCCAAGAAGTGGAACCGTGCAAGTCACTGTTAATGTCAGAGATCTTAATGACAACACTCCAGTATTTGGTGCACCGAGATACGTAGACAGTATTGTGGAGGGAGACTATACTACAAGCAATCAAGTTTTGCTGGATGTGGGTGAAAATTAATAATTAACACTTAATTTAAATTGCATAACTTTGTGTGCAGAATGAGCTATAAATAAGAAACAATAATAAAAGTTTATGTATTTTGAATTCATAAATTGTAGGTCTCAGCCAGTGATGCAGATAGCGGAGCAAATGGTGACATTGTATACACCATACAAAGTGTTTCAAACAATGGGGCTTCCAAGTTTTCAATACAGCCAAGCTCACAAACAGGAAGGGCAACTATAAGTTGTATAGGAAGTGTAGCAGAGGGGGAAATCTATGTCATCATGGTTGCTGCAACAGACCAAGGTCAACCTGTCTCTGAAAGAAGGTATATAAGTGTACAGTTTTTAAGGGAAAAGTGGTAATGGGGTGCATCATTTGAAAGGAGGGGAGAAGGGATGAAAAAGTTTGACACTGTGAAGATTAACAATCATTAAAATCCACAAGCAATTTTACACCATGTGTATTGATTTTCTTTTCTTTTTCTTTTTTAATTTTGAACTATAAATACATTGAACACTTCAAAATTTAGATATCTTATTCATTGACAAGAAATAGTCACTAATTGTAATTCTTTTGATGTAGGACTGCCACAGTACCAATGGAAGTGACCGTGACCCCATTAGGGACACGCCCACCTGTCATTGAGGCCCCTGCTTTTACAATTTATGTCAGCGAGGCAGTTCCAATTACTTCATCCGTATTCACTATTCCGGTATGTTTTGCTACCTAGAAAATTGCAAAATTAGTGTAGTTTTCTGGGTGCTTAATTCGTGGTTATTTTTTGGTGAGGGTGATTGATTTTAAACGTGTTAGATATTTAAATAGTGCTAGTATGCATGAGTAGATAAGTTATTTAAGCATTCGTTTTGTGTAAATGTGCAATTCGAAGGCTCAGATTCGTACGTTAGTTCTCAAACAAATGCTCCAAAAGTCTTAGAGCTCTTCGTCGAAGTCTTAATCTAACAACCCGGTTAATGGTTTAGCTGATGCGGTGAGTTTATTTAAATCCGACATTGACTCGCAATTTGCCTCTCCGCCCAAGAATTTTTTTTTTCAGAACAAAAATTTAAAGAATAAAGCTTCTGTTATTCAAAGTAACGGTAACAGGTTTTATGAAGAGATTATGGAAGACATTGAAATCATTTCTACTATTCTTAAAGACAGTTCAGCGACCTCCGTACTTAATATAATAATATTAAAGAAAAGCAAAAAAAAAAAAAAAAAAAAGAAAAGAAAAGAAAGAAAGAAACAGACTCATCAGAATCGCCGACGGTAGTCCTGTAGGTTGGAAAACAGTCGGGGAATAGATGTTTGCCATAGATGTCACTGGAAAAGTCATTGCCCACTCAACTACTCACAATTCTCCACAGGGGTGCAGGAACAAGTGCAAAAGAGGAATAATAACAATAACTATTGTTCAAGCAAGTCTGGTATACCCAATATTTCTGATAGCATGAGATTCATTTGTTGACTTTTGAAAATAAATGTAATATTAATCAGATTAAAGGCAGAGTTTAAAAAAAGATTACAGGTATTTCATAAACGTTTCTTTTGGAAAAACATAGAAATTTAGGATACTTTTTTTAATTATTGAATACGGTTATTATTTTTATTTTCATTCATCAATGCAATAGGGGAATAATAAATCAGCTATAATGAATGATGATTTTGTTTCAGAAGCTCTTCACTGATTAATTCGGGCAGAAAAAATAGTTCAGGTAGAAGAAAAGCTGTATGTGATCAATCCCTTGAGTGTTGCAAACAATGAGGAAAAGAAAAGACTAACTCAAGATCTCAGTTTCTTCAATTATTTCATAAAGAAAGAAAACGCAGAATCTAGTGAAGTGAAAGTAATAAAAAGTTATGGCCAAGTCGCACATACATCTTTGCCATCAGTGCTTTCTCTAATTTTCGTTTAGAAGTGAGGGTGTTTAACGAAGAAAGCTGAACAACTTCAGATTCATCCCTCAAAGCTTCTGCCATTTTCTCGCATCGCTCTTGGCATCGAATGAAGTTTTTCCGGGTCTCATGGCCACGAGTGGACTTAGGACCCTGAAGTTTTGTAGATGTGCTCTTGGGGAAGATAAGCGATAAGTGTTAATTGTGCTTTTATTGAGTTCACCAAAAGCTAGACCAGACGGAATTTCTGGGCGTGATAACGGAAAGGTAAGAACAAGCCGATTTTGGATTTGATTAGGACAAACCAAAAGACGTACATTGTATTTATTACAAAAAATTCCCGAAGCTTCTGAGAATTCTTGGGGCCTTAGTAAATCAGTTCTTGCACATGTAATGCACTACATGTATTCTTTCACGTTTTCATTAAGTAAAATTTATTGATAATTCAAATAAATGTTCAAATACTATTTTGTTA